TGTGTGTGTGTGTGTGTGTGTGTGTGTGTGTGTGTGTGTGTGTGTGTGTGTATGTTTGTGTGTGTGTTTTGTGTATTTTTGTGTGATATGTACTTCAACAATGAAAGCCCCAGAAATGGAGAGACGTCTTGTGTCTTGCCGTCTACGCTACCCCAGGATTACAAAAGTTCTATTTGCTCAGTACCAAGTTTTGAGAAATTTGACGTAAACGATTTTGAGATTCACAAAATGTTTTTAAATCAATAAGATGAATATTTGGAATGGTTTTCTGTTGGTCAGAGAGAAAAAACGTTTTATGTTCATGCTGTACATTGTATTGTATTGCAAAGCCCTCAGAGAGTGTGTACTTTAATCGGGGTTTAGCGCTAGATCTATATAAATATCATTTATTATTATTTATGATGGAAAGCTTTTTGGAATGCAGTTCTTTGAATATCTTGATAACGACTCCAAATAATCTCACGATTTTGACAGAGGAGATAAAACATTAAAATTTGGTTTCTGATCTAATGATCTTAGTAACTCAAAACGGCCAAAACTGTCAGATAGGACTTTGTAATGCTAAGGTTGCAGTGTGTCGGTAGCTAGTTCAATAACAATGATCATAAATCAAGCCCCTAGAGCAAAGTTATTCAGGAGAGAGAAACAGACTGTTCCAATTCTCGGACAAATTCTATTTACGACATGCATCTTTGCTTGCTTTTTTTAACGTATTGAATATGAATTTCGACCAAGTTACTGGTACTAGAGCTGAATTTTTATTGTGAATTTTTATCTTCAACCATTCCCCGATTTCAAAAGGTAAAACCAAGCCGTGATGTGAACTAACGTGCGAACGACCAACTTGAACCCCGCGCGATCATCATCATCATCATCATCATCATCATCATCATCATCATCATCATCATCATCATCATCATCATCATCATCATCATCATCATCATCATCCATAGCCAGATCTGCAACAGACATCGACGATCATGGTTCTCCATTCATTCCTTGGCTCGGATGCTCAAAAAAAAAGCTACGTTTCCCTGATCTTTCCCTGTTACCCATTTGTTTAGGTTCCCTACGTATGTTCTGGGCCTACCCCTGTTTCGCTTGCCCTCAATTTTGCCAGTGAGAGCTAGATGTTCAAGACCTTTATGTCTATTCAGGTGTCCCAGAAACAGCATTTGTCGTTTCCTGATTGTTTTTAACATTGAGCATCCCACGTGGGCTTCATCAAGCACTAGCTCATTTGATTTATTTTCCTACCACGATACTCTTAGCAGTCTCCTAAGAAACCACATTTCTGTTGCTTCTATTTTATTTTCACTGTCTTTAGTGACCATATGACCTAATATTATGTAGTTGAGAGCTCCATAAAACTCTTATCAAACTGAAATATTTTAGGAGCATTTTAAACCTGGACCACAAATTAAAATTCTGCAGTGAAAGAAAAACAATTGTTTAAAATACAATAATACATGTATATTTTGGACATAAGTCTAGATCTAGTACATCCGAGCAGCCCAGATGGTCGACACATGATGACTTTTCTCCCCATCTCCGCTATCAAAGAATCATTCATGGACGTTTTGGAGTCACTCACGACAACCTCTTGTTGAACAGAAAAGTGAGACCGTCTTTGACAAGGGATCGTCTTAACAATGTCACTATAAGCTTTTTGGGTTTTTTATGATAATAATGATGATAATAATAATGATGATGAAAATAATAATAATAATAAAAATAATAATATTAATACTAA